CTAAGCATTTGAGCACCTAGAAATTATTTTCCAACGTTCTCAATACCATGTTCTCACTAGCATCCAGATGTTTTACTTGTACTTTATTATAATTATTATTATGATTTTTATTACTATTATTACTATTATTTTGTAATCCCCATTATTCTCAATGTTGATTCTCATATTCTTGTATTTAAACTCATTACAGTAAAAAAAAAATGTTGCCTTGTTTTGATTGGAAAAAATTAAATTTTATGTTATTCATGCAGAACAAGGTGTTTTTGGATGGAGGGTATAGGGAGTATAAACGTAATTTGTCAACACAAGACCACCAAAGAGTTTTTTTTTTTTTCATTTAATTAGATGTTTATTAGCCTATAAATCCACATAAACGTTTTTCTCGGTTGATTATGTGCTTGACTACAGTGGCACAAGCACAGACGCTCAGGGACCAGAGGACCACAGAGAATAAACATAAGCCTAAACGTTCTTCCAAAAGCAGAAATAAAGTTCAATTTAGCCTTTATGTTTTTTGAGATATTCACCCACCATTTAATTAGCAATGGAAAAAGGCTCACATCAGAGGTATCATAGATTGACAAACTGAGGAAAAAGAAAGGTTAAGAGCCAGACAGGAAGTAAAAGAAAAAGATATCCCAGGCAGAGCGATCAGTACAGACTGTACTATGTGTCATGGAGTTGTACTGGCCACTTTCGAGAGCTCAGTCTGAATGGGAGGTGAGAAGGTGAATCAGGTGGAGGGGTTTAAAAGTGCTACTGTGTGTATGTGTGTATAAAACCAGAGAAAATGTGCCTATGTTCTATTAATAATACTTGTCCTAAATATGTCTGCTTCCAGACAGCCAGCTTCCCATACAACAGCCACTACTCTCTTTTCCACCTTTCTTCTCCTCGCATATTCATTCTCTCTCGTTTTTTCTCACTCATAATTTATGTGCTCCTGTCTCATGTTTATCCTGCATTTAAATTTCACACAGAGGAGAGGCGGCAGCAGTGAGCCAGTCAATAGAAGTGCTAACACTTAACGACCCCTGCCGAAGCAAACAAAAACAGATCGTTGGTTCTTCAAACAGCTCCTTAGAGATCCACCTTGCTGGAATGCTTGTCATTGTCCTACAAAGCGTAGGAAGGAAGCCAAGGACAATTTGTAGCAGCGTCTCTTAAGAGTGTGCTGTACTGGAGATGGTGGCTCAATAATGTCCTCTATTGTGTAGTAAAACGTGTTTTAACAGACTTAAAATCTTACATTCAGAGTCTACAGCTTTGCCACACCTGCTATTAACAGGTGAATTAATAAATATTTATTAAATGTCTCTTACTGGCCATGATTTGTTTTTTAAAGGGGACCTATTATGCCCCTTTTCACAAGATGTAAAATAAGTCTCTGATGTCCCCAGAGTGTGTATGTGAAGTTTGAACTCAAAATACCTTACAGATCATTTTTTATAGATTGTTAAAATTGCCACTTTTAGGGTATGAGCCAAAACTTGCCATTTTCGTGTCTTTCCCTTTAAATGCAAATGAGCTGGTGCTCCGGGGAAGAGGGCATAGCTTCAAGAGCTCAAGCTCCGGCAATAGGTTGTTTGCACATGAAGTCACTGATGACGCGCGAAATGCAGCTGGAGGGCAGGAAGTGATTTTTCTCCATAGGAATCACTAGCAGAAAGTCAAAATGGCTGTGTTTTGCGTTGTTTATGGATGCTCAAATTGGCCAAACCGAGAAACCACAAGGAGCTTTTATCGTGTACGAAAATGTGTTGTTCATAAGTGGGGAAAAGTCAAGAAATTGGTTGAAAAACACAGGAAAAAGTGGCTTGTAAACCTGCATCTGCGGTCGGGAGGAGCGGAGCCGGATAATGCTCGTGTGTGCAAATGGTTAATATAAGATATAATAATATATTAAGATATTAATTAAGATATAAATAGATTGGGCTGCCACCTCTCATGCATTCAAAATTCACTCAGTGCTAAACGCCACACGTAGACACGATGTAAATAAGATATTATTTGCAGTTCAGAAAGCTTCACTGATTATAAAGGAACATCGTGAGATTGCGATAAATTGAAGTGAGTGACAGCTTTTTAGTGATTATATGGAAGCGCTATTTGCTCGCTTTCTAGGCTATAATCAATTCAGAATTTGAATAAAAGTTTTGTTTTACGTGCTGCTAACAGGACCAACAGCCACATACCCTGTAACTTACATGCAGCAAAGTTTAAGGAGTGACAAAAAAAGCAGTCCGTACTTTACTTTTTTTTTGGCATGAGGCATTTTTTTTAATATAGCGCTTTCATTGTATTGCTGTACATCCAACGCGCTTTACAATCATATGAGGGGATCTCTCTTCAACCACCACGCTATTACAAGAGA